CTTGGGTGGTGGAATGGTTGGGGTTGATTTCTGGGTGACACAATGGCTGTTGTCTCGTTTTGTAATATACAGCGATGGAAATATCATATTTTTCATGCTGGATTCCTTGGACATATTGGTGACGCTTTGCAGTTTATTATGATGCCATGCATATGCCCGGGAGGTTTTCTGCCTTTACTGTCTGTAACAGGTGGACGGTCGATTCGTTCCAAAGTCGATTTGTCCGATTTATTAGCTAAGGCTAATAATACTAACTTGTCCAATACAACCAACAAAATCCAAACAAACTGTATTTTATCTGCATAAGACAGCACATCGAAAACTGAACCCCAGTCATGAGTATGTTAATGCGTCAATCGTCAAATCAGGTTATTTATTTTCAGGATTATAGTGTGATTACAATGCTGTAGGAAGCAAAAATTAGTTGGTCCGGCCATCCATCATGGGCCGTAGGCCCGAGGCGTATGATGATGCGAGACAAAGGACCATGTCTGCTAGGGGGGACGTGCAGAAGTGGTCCGGCCATAGCCCGTATGGTCGTACGGTTCCTACAGCCTTGGATTACGGGGGTAATTTTGTAAATTAGTGAATACGTTGGCCGACCTGAGATTGAAATCCTCATGTACACCAACATAGAAATCGACATCACCCTGTACAAGACCATAAGGCTGATCTGAGGTAATGGGAAGAATGTGACTTGTGTATCGCTAACCGCTACCCATTATCAACAAGGTATTACATCAGCGCTTGGCATGACGGCCTGCATATAAAAAAATACAACAAAATAACATTACCGGCAACATGTATAACATATTCAAAGATCTGTGTGGAAATAACAAATACAAATACAAAGATAAAACTGTCACCATTCCTGGGTTTTCGTTCAAAACAAGTTATAAAATTTTACAATCTTGCTATTAACACATTACTGAATTAAGCCTTTAAAGTAACCCGAGAGTTAATAAACAAATTGTACTCAACAATCAACATTAACAAATATTAATCACAAACAACGTTACTGCTTCACAATAATGAAACATTTATGAAAACGTAAAGGAATCTTTCAAAAAATATTGGGCAGAAAAAATTAATAATGACAATAGAGCAAATCGGAATGATAGAAATAAACTAATAGCGTAAGGCTATTTCTGTTAATGAAACATCCTGTGAACATTGATGGCAATTACTTTGAAGATGAGCAGCATTATTAATGTCTTGTACACTTCACCAAGAAGGCAAAGAAAACAATTGTTTTCAGAATGGTGTGTGTGTGTTTTAAAACGACGTGTGTGCTCGAAAATGATTGATATGTGTATTAAAAAATGTATGTGCATTAAAAGATTATAAGTTATGCTGTAAGCATTTGTCCATGTGTGTGCAATGTATAAGCTGGTGAAACAAGTCGAAGTAAGGTGAGAAATATTTCAAAGTGGTGAAAAATGGTTTGAAAAACAAAACATTGTGAATGATCAATTTCAATGTTCAAATAGACATCACACAACGCTTTATAAAACATAAGCAGACTCCCATAGTTTGTTGCAACATATAGTTGTTCTAGCTCCTGCTATTTGTGATTTTGTGCTTCTGCGATATCTCTTCTTTATGCCAACGGACCTCAAAAGCCGCTTTGCTCGTTGAATTCTCGACCATCGTTCGCAATTAGAAACGCTAGCACACCAGATGTCAGTGATAACACGGCAATCGCATACACCAATAAAAATAAACGATCTAAAATTCGTGCTATCTCTTTCCATTCTTGTAACCGATCGCTACTCAGCAACTCGATCTCCGTGGCTTTAGTGTTCTCACATATTGATGAATTTTCATAAAAATACGCATCTTTCAAAATTTGATCTTTGTTCACCTTGTTTGAGTTTCTGTGAATGATATTCAAGGACTCATTTTGAACAAAGTTGTTGTAAATTCTCAGACTATCTGATTTGGGGATATCAGCCCGATGGCCTCCACTCCTTGTTCTGTGTTGACAACATCCACCACGTACGCCACTCGATACTGTGTCACCGTCTTTTCTAAATCGTACGCGTGTGCACAGTACACATGCAAGAAAATCAAACACAAGAATTCGGAGCCAGCGTGATGGTCGATCACAATTTGGTCCGTGGAAATGAATATTCAAGGTCATAGCAGTTGTGGCGCATGACATCGCCACCAACCCAATGGTGATAAACAAGTAACGTTCTGGTGAAAAACGAAATAAAATTTATTAGAATTATGTATGATCACTGAATCAATATCCATTTATAGAACACTGTGTGTAGAAACTGATTGTAATGGAGTGGACAAACTGAATGTGACTACGTGTTGACAGCACAAGTTTAAAGTGAGGGAGTTGTCACCTGCGCATGCGTCTGGTAGCCATAGCGTTTCATTGTTTACAAACAAGCGTCTACCCATGAGCCTTTGCGTTTTTAGCGTGTGTTTTTATCGTCGCTTGGGACTCAATTCCCGCGCGTGCGCAGGTCACGACCCTCCCGCTTTAATCATCCCTGTTTTCATTTGTACTATAGCATCAGGCACCCTAAAATCTCACTCCCAGGTACTTGAAGTTCATATATTCCATAGCCGTGGCTTACATGTTTTTAGTGTGTGTAAGGATACGTGACTAGTAACGTAAATCAACTACGGTCAGTGGCATTCAACCAAAAATATACAAACAAACAAAACAGCGTTAGCGAATACTTACGAATGTGCGGCGTATTTTCTGAGTTTGGTGGCATATACTCTGAGACAGTGGATAGGAACACCATGAGTGACAACATACTAGAAACACACAGTGTTATTCGTTCTCCCGAATCCGACGGCAAGTAGAACCCGATGACTACCAGTACAGACACAAGGAATGCCGGGAATATAATGTTGAATACATAAAATAAAGAGCGCCGCTTTAGGTGGATTATGTATGTGACGTCAGGGAACTTTTCGGGACAGCAGGGGAACTTGATAACGTTTCTTTGCACTGGCATTTCAATTACATTCCATTCACCATTATCGATGAATGTATCTAAGTTACTTCGTCCATCTTTGATTAGGTCAATTAAATGAATCGGATAGACCCAGGAACCGAATTTAAAATAACATCTCTGATGGTCAAATGGAAAGTAAGTAGCATCAATGGAACAACTACTTCTAAATACAAATGGCTGTAATGCTGTCACTTGACCATCTGACGTCACGCGAGCGTCAGTGTCGTAGTGTCTGATGAATTCTTCATGTACACTGGAATAAATTGAAAACAAGTTTAAACTGCGATAAAAAATAAATTTCGATATTTCGAGAACTGTTTAATTTGAACTGCTCAACGACAAATGAATAATTTATGTGTGTGGCAATTGGGAATGTAACGCGGCATCATGGGATTACTAGTAATTGCTACAGCGGGGCCCAAATAAACTGTTTGTGATGACGCTCCTTGACACAATCTACTGTGTCACTTCGTCGATGTGTTTTTGATACAGTCTGAACAAAACAACACTTTAGTTGCATGTGTATCCGAATCAAACCGTGATTCATAAACCCTACTGAATGATGAGTGACGTCATTCTTTGCAAACGCCAGTCTTGGACTTGCAAAATATAGACAGGTTAGTCCGATGACCGACGTATGTGGATATGTGTATAACAACAATGGACGTGTCACCTGCAGCTTACCTGCCGTGTAGCGTTATATCGGGTTGCCATATACGTGTTATTGGTAGTTGTATTTCATCCACCCCGCCGTATTCAGATTCATTCCAAACTAAGTATTCGTCATGCCATACCTGAAATAAACACAGTACACCCGCCAGTGAAGATCTCCTTTGTATGGAGTGCGGCTGGATACTAATACGACGAATTATTAATTTATTTTCTGCACCAACAGAGAAATGTTTGTTGTTGAGATTCGGTTTTCTATATGTAAACATAACATATGTATAGAAACCAGGTAACGTGTGCATACATATGTCGTATTGACATAAACAAACATAACATACCTGACCAAGCCATGCTTTTAAAATAATAACTTGGTTTTGCTCCTCCTGGAAGAAATATTCACTGATTATTAAAACGCAAAATATTTGAATGAGTGATGCTAAGAATATTTAATTTATTTTCTTTTAGAGTATATTTTTATGTAATATGATTGAATAGTTAAATAATAGACAATTATATAATAATATAAAATTAACCCAGTAGTTCTAGACACCGTCGTCCCCAGACGGTGGTTAAGATAATAAATAACAAATGCGTGAAATGTACTATGTGACATTATGAACAATATAATTATATTACGCAATAAACCTGAAATGAGATATATATAACTGCATATCGATTTAATATCCAAAATTAAATATACTTCTTTTCCCAGGTATTATTAGTCGTACAACAGTCGCCATTATGTACGGATACATTATATCGTACCACTTGAAATTACAATCAAATAACTAGACAAACGTGCAATTGTCAGTAATTTGGTTTAGATGGTGACGACTATATAACCTAGATCGGATATTCATAATGAACTCCGATTGTTTCCTGAACAACTAAATGTGTATTTCCAAATAATCGTCAGCTGAACTAAGCTTCATGTTTCGAATGTTCATATTAGTAATCGTCTCGCTATTGGGCGACTTTCAGTATGTATGTCTACCTAGTAAATACATTAGCAAAGTATTTTATTAACAAGTTGACATATCCCGTCTAGGTTATTATGCTTATGTATATCATGAGAAATAACTGACTGAATAACTGTAGAAAAATGACGTATTTGGTCAATTCAAAGTATACGCAAATAAATGTATTTTTAATTACAATGACATTGTATTAGTCTGTGTTTGTCCCACAGTTATTACGTATATGCAAGTGACTATCACACATCTTTCTGGTTAGAAGTCTAAACCTCTCTTCTCTTGTATGGTTTATATAGGCCCCTGCCACGTCATGTGCAATAATGAAAGGTTTTTAAGAAGATAAAATGTATATTTTTGGTGATTTTAATACCAATGTCATCAAGCAGGGTTTATTATCTGTTCAATATGATCCTCATGTGTCTCTGCCAAATGATTAATGACGTAACACGTCATTGTTCTTTTTTTCTTAGTAGAAATCATCACAATCGATCACACGATTGACTATTTCACACCCCTTCTGACTTTCAAGTCATTATATGGTAAAGCGATTATAAAGACCTCTGAATAGAACAACAATTCGTCAAGATTATATGAGGACTGTACACTATCCATCTTAAGAATAATGTAAGAAAAAGTAAGAATTTTAAATAAATCTTACCACATCGATAATCTGTATTGGTGTCATCCGGTGTTTCACTATGGTTACCACTGAATCATTCTTGACAGGGCGGAGGAACGACGGGTAGTTTTCCAGTAACTCATTTACCAAGTTAGCACCCAAATTCGACGATGTTACCATGGGAACTACAAATCAATAATAAAGTATTGATAACAATATATTGACTAAATATTTATAAAATAATTTTCAATTTTCATAGTAGGTCAATGTGTGACGAATGGTTGCACTTGTATGCATTTATGTAAAATCAGATTTTTCTCCACCAGAAAAACGAAAGCGAAAAAACACTAAATTAACTTAGAGCAGACTATCCACCTAAGTTGTCCCACTTTCCCCTTACAGGGCGTCTATTGACATACATCACTATGGAAGTCACCGTCAGATAATTCAGGTAATGGGGTGATATTTAGACTACTTGCAGATACCCGGATGTTAAAGCGCGGTAGTCGTCGCGCTGCGCATGTGCGACATTTGTGTCGACAAACATTGATTTTTCCACAACCCAATGCGTTCTTCAAATGGAAATCACAAGTATGAGGTTTGACCTGGGCGCGACTTGCACTGATTACCGACAGTGACTCCTTCAATACCTTCCAATTACATGAAAATTACCTAATTAAAGCTTGGAAACGTGTCAGTTCGTACTCGTTGATCTGCGCAACAGTCAAAGTCACCATCTTTGTTTATATGAGACCCATATATCTCGCACATGCGCAGCGCGACGACTACCGCGCTTTAACAATTCTAATATTTCATTTTGAATCTTATGATTACAATTACTGTACAATCTTGAGTCAAATACGTCATTTCAACACACTGCGTTTTGAGTTGATACAATTCATATTGAGTAGAAAAGTATCCTAATTTAATGAAAGTCATTCACGGTAACATTTGTGTACAATGTACATGCCTCTTAAAGTAAAAACAAAACAAAACAAAACAAAACAAAAAACTGTTTCAAAATAATAAAAATCGGAAATAATATGCCTTGATTCACAATATTGAACAAACATTCATATTTTTCCTGTATCTTAGAAGAGTGCAGTGACATGCAAAACTGTTACTCACAATATACTAGTAGTTTTTGAAAGCCTAGAAACACAAGTGAACGTACTAGATAGTCATATGAAAGACAAACTTCCATACTATTGAAAATGACTAAAACCCGGGGCTGTGATAAAATCTGACAGTATTGCCAGCGTACCGTGAATAATACAAAGTCATTGTAATTGTGTCCCCATTGATTTAACATTTCATTTACTAAATTATTCAATAACTAAATTACATATTTGATAAACTATTGACAGAAACTGTAACATATTTACTGCCGCCACTAGATTTAATTTCAGGTAAATGAGATTGTTTCATTCATTAAGTCGACCATGTCTCCGAATCATATAGCAGTATGTGTTCATACATTTCGAAACACCTGGTGTCACTTCTTGTTTGTGTACACCGTGGGTTTCATGTATCATTCGTTCACTGATGTGATAATGTTTTGTAATACATTGTCTGTTTTTGTTGTATGTGATATGTGTTTAATGATTTACATTAGGTTATGTTATTTCTACTGTATATTTAAAAAAATGCACTTTATGTCCATCTGATATGACACACAGCAGAGTAGCTGCTTGAATAGCATTTCGGCATAAAAAATATTTGGACCAGGTTTAGATTTGCATCTAATTTTATGAAAGGTTAAACAAAAAAACACGAAAAACCGATGTTTTTCTCTTTCTTGTCTTAGTTTACCACAAAGCAATGCCTTCATTGGAATTCATTACACTATTTACTGAAGCAGAAGACCATCGTAAATGGCCGATAATACATCAATTTTAATTTAAATTTGTAGTATAATGACTTACATGGTTCTAACACTCCTTGGACACGTGGGAATACGTATCGGAATAATCGCGGTTAGTCGTCTGACTTAGTATACAGAATACATCATACTGTGTAGATGTATGCATTCAGATAACTGCAATTACCTTATATACTATATATTGATGGGTTTCGTCACGGCTTATAGACTGGCGTAATTGTTTCTTTAAATAATTTACCAATTTTATGGATACGTGTGCACATAGTTTTGAATTCATAAAAGTTAAATTGTACTCAATTGAATGAGTGTGTAATATACAACAAACAAACAAACAGGCCATAACCACACATCCTGGTGCCGTAGATGATATTGTTAGATTTGTTTAATCATGTTGGTGCACTACAGAAACTATATAAACTGTTTATTTATCGTGATTCGAACCAACTAATCCTGCTATATATATAAATCAAAGCATGTGCACCTTGGTAATCATATATTGAAGTCCGGTCCTGTGTGACTATCTTCCTCGATTAGACAGATTATCTCTGTCATTTACGACTCAGAAATATACAAGCCATTGCCACGAGCTGTATCGTCATTGTGTAGCAATAAGTACGTAAGGTTTGTGTGACTACGATGTAATGACTCATTACACAAAGCTTGGCTTAGAAACATTATGCTATCATATATCAGTCTCATTTATCACCGATTAATTAAACGCGAGATCATATTTCTTCTTGTACTAATCGGTCTGCATTACATCAGTTGTGTTTATTTATAGTATTCATTTAAATATCGAACAAGGGGTATGCATTATTCAATGCGTCACAGCTAACTTATAAATAACTTAAAACAGGTGATAATAAACAGTGTCCCGAAACTTAAATAAAGTAGCATTGATGAGTTTTGTAAAGGTAAAAAACTGTGGAAGTTTTGAACAAGATTGGGGAAGATAAATTATCAGATGTACATGAACATTGCATGTACTTTCACACATAATATATCTACGTACTTGCGTGTTATTTACCCACTAACTTGAAGCTGTCTGCTGTGAGAGACAAACAGACGTAATACGTACATAAGGAAATTACAGATACCGTGGTTGAAAACGACCAACTTCGTAATTTTATCACCAATCAAATGCAATGTATTCATTAGATTACGATTTGGTATAACAGATCCATACATACTCTCATATGTTTGTACACATGTACAATGAATTCACTAACTCGTTCTTATTTCCCATCAACACACATTCATATCATATGAAAAACATTATGAAGTTTGAAACACAATTGCTTTGTTAATCTGTTTCAACTATTACGTTTTAATGAAATAAACGTTGTTTTAAATAAATAACTGTCGCCATATTGGATGTCCTCACAAAACTTTACCCGTCATGCAGTTCATTAATAAAATAAGGAAGCGTCTTGGGATGACACGTAATTATCGAATATATCATGCATCACGTGATGTATTCTATAATCATAACGCTATGTTTGCATATAAATTATGAGTGTATATAAATACGACAACAATTCATTACTCTATATGTTTAACTTAACGTATTCTGCTGGTATTAATTCAATGTGAATGTCAACAATATAAAACAATATAGGACTGTAGGCTTTCAAATTTGTTGTTCTTTGTCGTAAAAAACACATTTGGGAGCATTATATTCTATGTTACCTTGTCATGTGGCCGTGTTAGTGTTGTATGGGCCAAATAGTGTCTATCAATAACAGTTTGAGAGGATACAAGGCAGTAGTTATTGAAATGATATCGGCGTCACATATTTCACAATTGGCAGGAATTCAATTATTTCGATGAATTGAAAAGATCGGAATGGACAAAATTGAAACACGATAGTGTTGTTCATGACAATTACTTTCGTATCTGTCCTGACGGCCTATTTTGTACATCGTACTTTGAGGTTAATAAAACATTTGTACTGACTCAGTTGTATTTATATAGATAATGCATGTCATGCTACTATACGTCACTCCATATTGTATTTGTCACAGTAGCGTCAACTTCGTAGGCAGTTATAATAAGTGCTTGTTTCTTGGTCTTTTATATTATTGTATTATAGTCCTTTTAAATTATTTTATGTCATTGTAATATCAGTAAGTCTTATTGCTTCATAGTTCAAACCGATTGTTAGACCGATACATAGAGCCTCGCTTTGATAGTAGGCTTAAGTTCAACCTACACGTTTAGGGATTGGTCAGTTACTTCGGCCTGGGGGGGGGGGGGGTCGGTGGATCAGTAGGGGGGTACCCTGTTTTTGAATGTGCGAATAGGGGGGGTCACCCTGTTTTTGATATCATGAATAGGGGGTCACCATGTTTGTTTTCCAGAATTCACACACGCGCTCATGCATATATTTTTAACAATTTTATTTCAGAACAAAAGATAAAAAAGTTAATCGTACAAATCATGTGTTCTTAATAATAACTATTACCTATATTGCCTATAAATTTGTTGATGCAAAAAATGTTATAGGCTAAATATTTTGAGGTTAAAGTTGCCAAATAACTAACAGATTATGCAATGCGGCTAGAACCCAATTATACAATATATACAATTATACAACCCAATTAAACACATCCCAAGTCCATGTGCTGCTGATATCAGATTATTTTATTTAAAGTCTGAAGTCACCATTGTATAAGATATTCACTGGATTTATCCAATTATAACAGAAGACGGAAAGACAACACAGCAATTAGTACAAAGAGCAGTGACATTTTTTTGTTTAGCAAATCAAAAAAGTTAAATTTGTGAAAATGCTGATATATAAATTAAAATAAATAATGAACAAATAAATAAATAATTTTTTTGTTTTTTTAACTTTTAAATATGCATATTTTGCTTTGTAAAATACCAAAATCCAACACAAATTTAAGCAAAAATCAAAGTTACCTTTGTTTTCATAAGCATAGACTGTGCTTCGGGTGTAAAGTTTTCCTGGTCTATAAGATATGAAAGATATTTTAAATCCAACTTATTTTTCAAAGAGTTCAAACCGCCTAGATTCAAATCCTCTTTTCCTATCTTATAAGGGAGTTTATCGAGTGAGTACTCCACAGCTTTGCTTTTATTTACTATCTGTAGCAGCATAGATTTCCCTACTTCCTGCAGCCTTTTCTGTAGTCATTTTTTGGCTTTATGCTTCCCCTCCCCTCCTAAGGTCTATTGAATGCAAACACTAAAAATTATGGCAAACCATGATATTTTCAATGCACATATAATACATTTTGTAATCATGTCAGAGCCAAAACTGTTAATGTTTCTTTGTTT